CAACCCTAGCACAAAGGTTAACCTCATATACTTATATATATATATATATGTAACATTATATGTAGCCAAACATGCTAAAGGTTACCTACCCAGTCCCAGTCCTAAGATGAAGGTTGAGGGCCCCAGTTGAGGGCTGAAATCTGTGCAGGAGGACATGGGACCCAGGCTCCGGCTCCTCCACAAAAGCTGCCATGACACGGTTTCGCTGGCGGCTGGCGTTTCTGCACATTCCTTCTAGCTCCCCCCTCCCTCTTCACGCCGCCGAAAATTGAACCTCGGGTCTCTAAGCCCTAGCCATATAGGGTGTTGATCGCTCAATTGGGCTTTGGATGTTATAGGGTTGCTCCAAACCCTATACATGACGTGAGCACCACGGGGGGACGGGCGGGGGGGGAGTCCCGTCCTTGTACTCATTATGCAGCTGCGTCCAGAGCAATGGAAAGGAACCTTGATCTTCTGCTAGGGGGCTTAGGGTTTAGGGTTTAGGGGTGACCCATGACCCTGCCCCCCTGAACTCTACAAGCCCAGGCCCTTGGTAGAATCTTGCCCCTTTGTCAACCTCCACTCTGATTGAGGCCAGGGGAGAATAGATAAACCCTGAACCCTAAACCCTAAGCCCTAGACCCTAAACCCTAAACCCTATTCCCTAAACCCTAACCCTAAACCCTAAACCCTGAACCCTGAACCCTAAACCCTAAACCCTAAACCCTATAGGGTGTAGGAGACCGAAGAGCTGCCTGAGTCCCCTTCAAAGTCGCACAGGGAAGAACTTTTGCAGCCCAAGTCTACACTCTTTAGTAGGTCACTGGTTTAGTGTAGGGTTTAGGGTTTAGGGTTTAGGGTTTAGTGTTTAGGGTTTAGGGTTTAGGGTTTAGGGTTAGGGTTTAGGGTTTAGGGTTTAGGGCTTAGGGTTTAGGGTTTAGGGTTTAGGGTTCAGGGTTTAGGCTCTAGGGTGTAAGGGACCAGTTCCAGGGGCCCCGGCCATCTTGGCAAACCACTGCAAACTGGGACGCGTGGCGCTTGACGAACTCATCCACCTCCTCTTGGAAGACGCCTGATATTTTGGGGTCAGGGTTTAGGGTTTAGGGTTTGGGGTTTACGACATAGGCGACCCCCAATATAGACCCCCAAATAGTAGGATCCCCTTATCATGAGGACCCCAACAAGGTACCCACTAACGTAAACCCCGGTTCAAAATAGGGGTACAAAAATCCCTATTAAGGACTGCTACAGTATACGGGGGAACATGCCCACTGATATCCAAAGAGAGTCAGGAGCTTTGGTGGAGAGCAAAAGCCTCGATGGTGAGTAGTCCATGATCTGACACTGGAGTAGAACCAAACGGTTCGTCTTAAACCCTAAACCCTTCTAAAGCTGGAACCCCAAACCCTTCACCCTTAGACCCTAAACCCTGAACCGCAAGGTGAAGAAGCAGGACAATCTTCTCGACGTTGCTCCCTTCGTCTGCTACGCCGCTGCTGCCCGGGGGCTCTGAGGCTTGTGCGATTGAAGTAAATAAAAGGAATCCAAGGTCGCAGGGTTTAGGGTTTCTTGGGTTTTGGGTTTTGGGGTTTCTTGGGTTTCTTAGATTTCTTGGGTTTCTTGGGTTTTAGTTTTTAGGGTGTAGGGTTTAGGGAGGGTTTAGGGTTTTCTGTCCAGGGTTTCGGTTTCACTCGCACACCAGAGCCCAGAACAAGTCTTCGATGCCAGAAGCCAAAAAACACCGTCACTGGATGAAGACGTTGCATCTCCCCAGGAACACGCGGCGAGAAGGTGCCACATCACGCGGATTGAACTCGCACCACATGAAAAACTTTCAACCCCGATTCGCAAGTACGCATGTTCCCATGCGAGTGTGCCAACGATTTCCTTGTACAAGTCCTGGTTCAGGCACCATTTAACCTAGTTGCTGAACACCCTGGGCCTAAAGAAGTTCACCCTTCAATTTTGGTAGGATTATATATATATATACATATATACCCCAAAAGGTTCAAGGTCACCTACTCAGCTACTAATTTAAAGCCAATCCCCTGAAACACAGACGCGCCCCGAGGATATGACCCCGCCAGGTCGCCCTCAACTGCCTCGCAACCCCGGCCGCGGATTGCAGTTCTGAGGGCTCTTTTGGGGCTTAGGGGTGAGCCAAACCCCAAACCCCAAACCCCAAGCCCCAAACCCCAAACCCCAAACCCCAAACCCCAAACCCCAAACCCCAAACCCTAAACCCTAAACCCTAAACCCTAAACCCTAAACTCGATAAGACCTGAGCCGCAGCTCGTTGAGGGATGGAGGGCCCCGCCTTCCTGAAAGCCGTGGAGGAATCCTCCAGCCGTTGTTGAAGAGGGTTTAGGGTCTAGGGTTCAGGGTTTAGGGTTAGGGTTTAGAGTTTAGAGTTCAGAGTTTAGGGTTTAGGGTTTAGGGTTTAGGGTTTAGGGTTTAGGGTTTAGGGTTTAGGGTGTAGGGTTTGCGGTGCGGGATTTCGAATTCGATGTGGGCGAAGTACTCCATTGGCGTGCACCTTTAGAACCCGAAGCCTTTCTCTGTCTTTGTAGGTTCTGATGATCGACTCTCTGATAGCAGCCTAGACTGCTACGCTAAAGCGCTTCAACCGCAATCTCCCTCCCCTAAATAGAGAGAAGGAACCCTGGGTTAAAAACGGTGTCATAACCTACCCCCATGCGAGCGACCGTGAAAACTCTAGGTGTCGGGCCTAAGTCGCGCAGTATAGGGGGGGGGGGGTGCCGCTTTTCGGTGTTTCCCATCGCTTTACAGGGTTTTGTTGATGGCTTTGTTACGGGCCAACTGTAACCCGTGGCTTTACATGGGTTTGTGCTACGTGCCAGCTGTCAGTACCAATAATTTGTACCAACTTACAACGGTTTTGAACCTTCTCGCAAAGACCATCGTTTTCTCCAAGTGGTGGTCAAGTTGGAGCAGGTTTGAACCCAAGACGGATCCCTAAACCCTAAACCCTAAACCCTAAACACTAAACCCTAAACACTAAACCCTAAACACTAAACCCTAAACCCTAAACCCGAAACCCTACACCAAACTCCGCAACCTTCACTCGCCAAAAGAAGTCGTGCAGACAGGGCTCGGTGGAGCTTGGTCCCAGCCACTTGCACCAAACCGTGCTCTTGTGGGACAGCGTCTGAAGCACACGGAGCCGGGATTGTGGGGGGGGGGGGGGGCCATAATTGCCCCTTGGAGCTGTTGAAGGTGGTGTGAGAAAGCTATATATACCCCAAAAACCCTGAACCCAACCCTGAACCCCAAGGACAATGACAATTTGGGCCCTTTCAAGAGTGGTTTTTTGCGTGTTTAGATGTAGGGCGGTGGGGGCCCTCACGTTTTTCAACCAGCCAGAAAGGATTCTAAGTAAGCCTAAGGGGACCGGAAGCGAACTCACTGCCTTAGCCCGAAGATGCAATCTCATGGCTTTCTCCTGCTGCCCTATCCACACAGCCCAGACATCGTCCGCCACCTTTTCCCCTCTGGAAATTCTAACCTTGAACCCCAAACTCCTAAGCGCTACAGCCAAGCCTTTGAATCCCAACCAGCCCTGATTGAATTCTCGACCGACATGAGATAAACACGGCCCCTGGACCTGGGTTCGTATGGGAGAGCTCCATCCACACTGCGCTCAATTCGCCTGGAAGGTCAAGTATACTTGGCAGCGAGAAGATGCGGTACCATGGTGTGACCGTCTGGGCAACTTGAAGGGAAACAGACGGCTGATTCGACTATACGGGCTCAGTGCAAGATGACCATGTCCGTCTTCACCTCAAAAACTTAAAGTGCTCTTCCTCAGGTTAGTCGTTGAGGGGTCGAGTGGAGAACTTCCCAGGGAGGGGTGTAGTTCCAGGTCTCAGGAAAGGAAAGCTGAGAAGAGCCTTGGGGTATACTAGGTGTTGGGATCCCCTTTGAAGCCCCTCCCCTATCAAACCCCAAAACCCCTACACATCTATCAACCTATGAGCCCAATAATAAACCATACAGACCCTACAGCCCCAATTGAACAAATCCCAAGAACACGAAGCAACCGCCCCTCATCAGTCGCAAAACAAAAACCAGCTCGTGGTCTTAGTGTGTCAGAGGGTTCAGGATCTGCAGGTCCGAAAATGAGCAAAAACCCCAGCTCAACTCCTCAAGAACACGAACATGAGCAAGAATCACAGCTCGACTCCTCAAGGACACCCGTGTTGGAATTTCGAGCTTGGGGCTTCGGATATAGGGGGTTACGAACATAGGGGACCCAAACCCCCACAATGAATTCCCCGCAGCAAGCAGGTTGCGAGGGCATATGAGGCCTGGGTCCACTGGGCACAGCCATCAGTCGCCAGGTGAAGCTATCATGAACGTTTAGGGTTAGGGTTAGGGTTTAGGGTTTATCGTTCAGGGTTTAGGGTTTAGGCTTCAGGGTGATCAGAAAGAGAATCCTGAGAAAGATAACAGAACAATCATGGTCAAGGTTGGTTGGCATAATTCAGGTTGGTTCATCCATTGCTCAGGCCCTCTCTTTCTGCAAAGGTTGCTATGGAGCTGGAGAGGAATGTGAGAAAGCGCTAACCTCTACACATTTGCCAAATGTCTGAAGGGCTCGCATGCTTGGGCCAAAAAAACACAGGTCCACGTGCCTGGAGGTCGGGGGAAGCAGTTGCCACCACTAGGGTTTAGGGTTTAGGGTTTGCAGGCGTCAAGAGCTGGTCCTACAGTGATCACTCTTGCTTGCCAAGCATGAATCTCACGATGATGCTTGCCAGGATCAAGAAGGCAAGAATCTGGCGGATTAGGTCCATATACCTTACTAGAAGTATCGTAACAGTAGCATTATTCGGCAAGATGATTCCAATTTTAGCCCATTGTCCACCGACCGCTGCACAAATGTGTCCACGCCGTCGCAAACTCACAAGATCTCACAAGCCTGTTCAGTTTAGATGCCCCCAGAATGATCAAGGATGGTCTAAAGCCGGCAATCCCTCCCAGTCCGAGTGCGTGACGCTCTGCATCAGTCCAGGATAGCCACTCAAGAACTTCCTCGTGGAAAGATACCCGGGCTAAGCCCTTAGCTACGCCAGCCGAAGTGGCCAAGTCAACGACTTCGCAGGTTCGGGAGACATGTGGCGGTTTGCTGTTGATTTCGTCCTGGAAGGAGAGTGCAAAATCGCTGATGCGTCTGCGTGTCTTGGGTGCAGTCTCCCTTCAGACACACCGACAGCCAGAAAAACGGCGCGCTGAAACCGAAAGTAACAGCCAAGACCATGAAGCACAAGGAGGTTTCCGATAACAAGGGACCCCTAATAAAGACGGCCCAACTAGTAGGATCCTCTTATAACAAGGACCCCAACAAGGTACCCATTTCCTCCTAAACCCTAAACCCCAAACTTTCAACCCTGGGCCCTAAATCCCCATAAGCCCCCCCAACTCATGCCGAGCAGCTGCCAGCGACCGTTGCCGCCCAAGCGCATCCGCGATAACTGTGCAGGAGCCCATCTGGCCGTGCTGCTTAGCTCTTGGGGGGTTTAGGGTTTAGGGTTTAGGGTTTAGGGTTTAGGGTTTAGGGTTTAGGGTTTAGGGTTTGGGTCAGTTTAGCTCCGTTTAGGGCCTACGGGACCCTCTTTACCTACAGCTTAATGGGTTGTACCTACTAATTGAGGGTGGTTACTAATTACTAAACTACAGGTAAATAGAGTCCCAGGTACAGGGTTTAGGGTTCAGGGCAAAGGTTATGGGTTTTGTTTAGGGTTTATGGTTTTCAACGCAGCCAAGAGGACTTCGAGCTGAATCCCAAGCCCCTGGCATATAGCCAACATGAACAACCAGAATACACATAATTACCATACGACGAAGCTGTCACGAGCTAGCGCTAAGTAGCGCCTACGAAGCAACATGAGGAACACGTGCCAACTCAACACCCAGCCTGCGTGCAAAAGAAAGCCACACCGAACTCACCTTGCAGACCATCTGAACCGTGATATTGGGGCCATATATAATTATATAATCACACTGAAAACCCCATGAAGGTGGATGGACCTGAACCCCTTCAAGGGGCGCTTTCAGTCCCAGGATAAGCAGATGTCTTGAGCTCCGCCCGTGGTCTGACGCCAGCAACCCTGAAATCCGAAAATCGCTTCGAGCACCAAGACCTCAGGGACTATATGAACCGGTTTCGGTTTGTCGTGGTCAACTAGCTGATCCCAGTCTCCAAATTCTATAGGGGCTCATTCTTAGTCCCCAAGATCAGGCCCGAACTACCGTAAACCCTGAACTCCCTGAACCCCCCTAAGCCCGAAACCCTAAGCCCTTTGCAACTGGACTCCTTGCTACCCTAAACCCTAAACCCTAAACCCTAAACCCTAAACCCTAAACCCTAAACCCTAAACCCTAAACCCTAAACCCTAAACCCCCCCCCCCCCAAATTCTGGTACCCAGCCCGCGCGGAGGAGGCGCCTATCCATGCTCAGGCTGCGCACGAAGCTCAGGTGCACACCCAAGCCCCGGTGCCTGGCACAAGCAAGAATCTCTTGGGGGGGGGGGGTTGGGGTTTAGGGTTTAGGGTTTAGGGTTTAGGGTTTAGGGTTTAGGGTTTAGGGTTTAGGGTTTAGGGTTTAGGGTTTAGGTTTATAGGGTTTAGGGTTTAGGGATTAGGGTTTAGGGCTTCTGCTGCATGCTCTTAGACTTAGGGCTTAGGGTTTAGGATTTCTGCTTGTGGGTTTAGGGTTTAAGGGTTTAGGGTTCTCTTAATGGCACGGCACCCTTTTCATAAAAAGGACACAGCAAGGGACCTTCATATAATAGAATTACATATAGCGTTTGGAGGCGCCATAGCCCCTGCAACCTAAATCGCACGGATCGATCTGCAGCAAGCCCTAGCATGTTCGTGTCCGCTCGACAGCCCTTTGCTATCCGCCCTGGGACGCCTTGAAGCTAACTGTGACTGCTTGAAGAGTCACTATACTCACTTCTGTCTCACTCTGACGCAACTGCCTGCCGGCGCAGTCCGTACACAGGTGGCAGCCATAAGAGACTGTGGCCCACCTTTCCAAGCAGTGCTTCAGTTGCGAGGCTTTCAGGAGCTTTGTTGGTTGTTTCTTTGTGGTGCCTGCTTCTTTTGTGCTAGGGCGAAGCGGTATTGCACGGCATGATTTTTGCTTCAGGCTACGACCACTGAGGGAACTGCAGCCTGTAGCAATCAAGAGCAGCAGCGGGGCATGTTCGCAATTTAAGTATGCCGGGGCAATGGGGTCTGCACCTGACGCATAGCTCAAGATACTTGCACTAGGCCCTGCGGACCGCAATCACATAGCGCTCGATCTAAGCCGTTGGCTTAGTCCGAAAGAATGCGCCGGTTGGGGTTTAGGGATACCCTGGAATTAGAGTAGTCAGTATAGATCCTAGCTAATTATAAGGTTCATATTCGTCCACATCCAGCCTTAGGCCGTGGGCCCTGTAAACCCTAAGAACCCTAAGAACCGAACAACCCAGAAACTCTGCCTCTCTCTCTCTCGCAGACTAGGGTCCGTCAGCTGCCGTCCGTAGCCAAACCCTCAATCTAATAAACCCTAAAGCCCTAAAAACACGAATTCGATGGACCCCTCAGAAACAACCCAACCAGTTGGGCCGCCCACTCGGCTGGAGACGCCCCACACTCGACACAGCCTGGTTCGGGTAAGGGCTCAGGTTATGGGGTTGAGGGTCTAGGGTTTACGGTTTAGGGTTGAGGTTCACAGAATATGACAACAGGCTGTCAACACAGAATGAACCAACGACGAAGTGACCCATATACTTCTCAAATCTCTACTCTGCGAATCCTGCATCCACGGCACAAGGAAGAAGGACTGCAACGTAAGAAGGGCTCCGGCCACGGTAAAGGGCTCATAAGGCGTTCAGGGCTCCTAATAGAGTAAAGCCTGGGCCGGGTAACCCCCAGAGGATAGGATTAGAGCCAGAAGAGGGTTGAGAAGGGTTCCCTTTTAAGGGCCCCCCTTATCCTACCTAGGATTAAGAGTATTCAGGCCCTGGTCGAGAGTGCAAAGGCTGCTTCGGGGAGGATGAGAAGGGCAGCCTTCCCGGCTCCAAAAAGCATGTTTCCTGGCGTGGGTTCTCCCTAAACCCTAAACCCTAAACCCTGAACCCTAAACCCTAAACCCTAAACCCTACGCCCTAAACCCTAAACCCTAACCCTAAACCCTGAAGCAGACGCTCCAAACAATACCTGAGGCTGCGGCATGCGAGTTCGTCCTCCAAAGCGCCCTCGCCACAGGAGAGGGAGAGAAAGAGTCAGGGAAGACGGAGAGACAGAGAGAGAGAGAGAGAGAGCGAGACGGAGAGAAAGAGAGAGAGAGAGAGGCAGAACGAGAGTGAGAGAGGGAGGGAAAGGAAGAGAGAGAGCGAGAGAGAGAGAGACAAAGAGAGTGCGAGAGGGAGGGAAAGGAAGAGAGAGAGAGAGAGATTGAGCGAGACATACATAAGGAAAGAAGGAAAGAGCAATGCAGAAATAAAGAAATAAAGAAACAAAAATAATAGAAATAACCAAAAAGAAAAACGAAGAAGTACAGAAATATATGAAGAAAAAAGAAAACCTGACACCGTCGCAAGGCAGGAGAGGGCAATCTCTTCTTTATTGTTGTCCTTTCCAGCCTATCATTGCATCTTGCAAACCGATACCATCCAAACAACAGTCTGCCTTGAGACTCTACGGCCTGACCCTCCTACTACCGGAGCCAAGATATATAATAGGATCGCTGACAACTCATATATCACGACTCCAAGAAGTACCACCAAAACATGCCCATTCTAAGTGCACGCGCCCCCTCTGTGAGGAACTCTGGTGTAAACCCTAAACTGAACCCGCAAAACCTTGAACACCCACCCTATAAACCCTACAAATCCTACACACCCTATAAGACCAACAAACCCGAAGTCCGTTTGGCACCCCCAGACCGCCTTGTGTTCGGCCTCTTGGTGTCCCACCGCCGGGCTTCGGGCCTGCGCCAGTCCGAACACTCTCGCCTTGGGATGGGTTTAGGGCTTAGGGTTTACGGTTTAGGGCTTAGGGTTTAGGGCTTAGATCTCTGCCAGGTCCAGCGGCGCACAATCACCCGGCCCCACTTCGCGCCTGGACCATGGAACACTCTACGGACTGAGCCTCAGCCTGTCACAAACCTGATTAATTAGAACAGGGTTTTGGGGCGGTTCTACCGACACTAACTCGTAAGGTTTCAGAAACCAATGGCCCGAAAGCATGGATTTGTGGTTACCGGTGAACCATCACTCTCCGAAGCCTCAACAAATGGCTTCCTGGCTCAAGCCCTACAGTGATTACACGCGGTTTAGGGTTTAGGGTTTAGGGTTTAGGGTTTAGGGTTTAGGGTTTAGGGTTTAGGGTTTAGGGTCGAGGGTTTAGGAGCCTACAAACATTTGCAGGGCCAAGCCGCTCGAAACGAAGGATTTTATGGGGGAGTGCAGGGGCGGGCTGCCAAAACCAGCCAGCCTCAGCCCTCGAAGACTGCACCGGCAGCAAGTCGTCAGGAGCCTTCCGGGGTTTAGGGGAAGGGTTTAGGGTTTAGGGTTTAGGGTTTAGGGTTTAGGGTTTAGGGTTTAGGGTTTAGGGTTTAGGGTTTAGGGTTTAGGGTTTAGGGTTTAGGGTTAGCTTTTAGGGTTTAGGGTAGTCAGAGCCGGGGCGAGGAAAAGGGGAAGGGACGAGAAAAACCAAAATCAGCTGGACCACAAACCCTACGCCGTAAACTGAAAAGGGACCCAAACCCCAAACCCTAAGCCCCAAACCCCCATGTTCCGAACTGGACTCAGGAGGTTTGGCGTAGCATACCGGCCTGCATGAGCCAGGAAGCCTACAAAACGCTGTTGCTTGGGAGTTGTCCTGCTAGCTCCAGAAGGCCTTTAGGTAAATTTAGGTTCATCTATCGAGTTGTGCAACCTCGATTCGGGCGTAGGGTTTCTGCCTTGAGGTTTGTTTGAGCTTATATAGGGCTTTGCTTTATACATACTTGTTAAGAGGGCCGAGGGCGTACCATAACAAGCCTAAACACGAACAGTAGCACAACATCTGCATTTGCGGGGGCTTCCTGAGCCCAAGGGCTCCTTTAGGGTTTAGGGTTTAGGGTTTAAGCTTAGGGTTTAGGGTTTAGGGTTTAGGGTTTAGGGTTTAGGGTTTAGGGTTTAGGGTTTAGGGTTTAGGGTTTAGGGTTTAGGTTTAGGGTTGGGGTCTGGGCTCAAAGGCTCGAAAAAAGCAAAAACAAGATCGCTTTGCACGCTCCGATCAGCCCCTCCTCTGCCTCAGCCTCGTGCTCCGTCAACACGTCGGCGGCCTCCTGGCATGCCAAGGAGTGAGAGACTCTTGAACTCGTTTTAGGGTTATAAGGGTTTAGGGTTGAGGGCAGGCACAGTGCTCAGATAGATTTGGGTGTGGTTTGGTGCGGCAGGCACAGTGCTCAGACAGATTTTGGTGTGTGGTTTAGTGCGGCAGGCAGTGTGCTCAGATAGATTTGGGTGTGGCTTGGCGCGGCAGCAAACCCTAAAACCCCAAGACCTTCGGCTCAGAGTTGAAGGAAAGGATTCAAAAGAGGGTAACACCGATGCAGTATTGTAGGTGAAGCTCATAAACCCCAAACCCTAAACCCCAAACCCCAAACAGCAAACACCAAACCCTAAACCCTAAACCCTGCGCCTGCCGGATTCGGCGGAGGGATGCGAAGGCATCCCTGAGCTCCTCCGCGGCGGGGGCAGCGAGCTGCGGACTGTTTGCGGAGACTACCCCATGACACAGAAAACTTGGGAGAACACCAGGTTTTAAGCAAGTCACAGCCCCAAATCTATGTAATATATATATATATATATATATCTGTGCTTTTTTCATATATGTGTGTATACATATATATATATACACATACATATACATATATATATATATGACAGCTTACTGGCATTTTTGTCCAGAAGCCTCCGAAATTGTAGGGGGTTATAACGCCCAGGCAGCTGCTGAGACCTCCTTCGTGCCGCTGTCTGCCTCCGAGCCTGAGCGTCTGAGGGGGCGAGGGTGTAGGGTTTAGGAGTTTAGGGTTTCGGGTTTTGGAGTTTAGGAGTTTAGGGTTTAGCGCTTAAGGTTTAAGAAACAAGCAGCATTGGGCTTCAGGATTTTGAAGGTGTACCCCACTAGCCAAATCATGACAAGGGCACCCTTCCGGTCTGTTGGCTCGTGTCAGAAAAGGGACCCAGAACCCCAAAAGGTACCACCAGGCGTGCCACTGTGACAGACGCACAAACACATCTTCATGATCCCTAAGTGGTATTGCTCAGATGGAAAAAAGTCTATCAAAGCCCAGAAGCTAGACACTCTAAGCCCTATGAACCCTACACAGGGCAAAGGGCCTTTCATTCTGTTGGAAGCAGGCCTGCTTTTGTCGAGCCTGTTTTTGGGGCCTTTAGGGCCGCCCAATGCTTTTAAGATTTTGGGGTTTTAAGGGCTTTGGTGGGAACTTCGGGTTCGAACCATTCTGCTTTCATATACGACCATGGCAAATCTGCCTGCTGCGCAGTCCGCCGCCGCAGAGAAACAGAGCCGCTGGGCTCTGAGGTACGACCTGGGCGTGTGTTTAGAAAATGCCGGCAATTCAGAGGAGCTTTGCAATGTGGGGGGGTTCACGATATTCAGGGACCCCATAGACTCCGAAATAATCGGATCCCCTTATGATAAGGACCGCAAGAAAGTGCCTCTAATATCGTAAATGCCCATGTGCAGAAGGAGGAGACACTGGAATGGCCCTTACACGGCTTCCAGAAATCGAAAAGTTCGGTGCTAAGAGAGCTGCGCCAAGGATTGTCGAAGCATTCCACGTCTTCTCCTGGCTAGGCGTCCACGAGGCCGTCTCAGCTTTTTTGTTTAACGTTGAGGCTGAAGATGACAAAGTCTGACTTGGGCATGTTGGGCCTAGACATATACTGTACGCGTAAATAGTCGCGGAGACGCAACTTGCGCGTCGACTGCACTATTCTTTGGTAAATGACAACCCGCCTCTGCTTCCTGATTGCTGAAAGTGAACCAAAATCCCTAGACTACAAGACTAGGGTAGATGATCCACCCGAATGTGCCCTGCCCTTCTGCCTCAGCACTTCGCGGAGTTGAGGTGTGTTCTGGTGGTGATCCTCGCGCTGCAAAGGGTTCTAGCCGTTAAGTGACACAACAGCCTTGGGGACCAAAATGTACCTAAACCCCCAAACCCCAAGCCCTAAACCCTAAACCCTAACCTAAACCTGAAGATGTTGGTACGATCTTTGAGCAAAGAAAGCCCGACTCAAACCTGTAATTGAATTTCCTTGGCTGCACAGCAGCCTGGCCAAGTGTGGGGGCTGAGGAGTCACATACATACATACATACATGCATGCATGCATACATACATACATACATACATTTAACCATACGTATGTACGTACATACACGCATACACACACAAACATTAGTTACATTAGTTGCATACATATGTTCGCACGTATACACATATGCATCTTTTTACATCTTGTTGCACACCTTTCTGTTTTGGACTGCCCGCTGTCCTTCTGCACTACATCCAGCGCCACGTGCGCGCACTCCTGGCCGACACGTCGTGCCCCAAAATACGAACAAAGAAAGGCGAAAACCCTAGGGCCCTAGAACTTGTAGGGTTTCCGAATCCGATGCTCACACTGGGTTTGGGTTTCACTGTAAAATGTGTTCTATATTGGTGAAGTTGTGAATTCTATGACCGGCCGTAAGCTTGACAAGTTTAGGCTTCTGTGTGCTATTCACCACACGGACAAGGACTTCTTCAAAATCGCAACTGACGCTCCTCTGCCAACTTGCCATGCCTGAACTAGCCCAACAAACCTATACCGACCGATAAAGATTCTGATTTTGCTCTTGCTCATAAACCAAACATGCGAGAATTCAATAGTGAACGTCGCAATAATAACAATGGTCATGAAGATAATATCAAGAATCCCTCCGAGCAGACGAAGCCTCTAAGGGTAGGGGTTATAACTTATAACAGTACAGGGAATATGAGCCCTTAACCCCAAACCCAAACCCCAAACCCCAAACCCTAAACCAAAAGCTACTTGGGGAAGCAGCCCGGCCACCTGGTAGGCCACTGCGCGCAGCTTCTCTTCCGACAGCGACACCAGCTCTTTCAAGAGAGCCTGGGCGTTTAGGGTTTAGGGTTCAGGGCTTGGGGCTTAGGGTTTAGGAAGAGCCTGGGCGTTTAGAGTTTTCTTGCCTGGTACACTTCTCAATGTGTGCGTGTCATCCTTGCGCAGGGGCCATGCTAATCTAGGGTCTAGGCGGTCTAGGCTTTAGGGTCCAGGGAGTTTAGGGCGCCGCACTCTTTGCCCCTAACTTCCAGCAACTCGAGCGTTGGATTCTTAGGGAAGCGCCAGCAACATATAGTAAGTCGGTGTAAGGCAAGGTGACAACTGCTAGGGTCTCTAGGCTTAGGGTAGGTGATGGTGATGAGGGGGGGGGGGTCGTTGTGAATGAAACAGAAGTTTGGTAGAGGACACCTAAGACTCATGACTCATGTGCTCCGTTTGACATATGCAGTTTCTGGACCTCACTGCAGACTCCATGTCCAGCCACGCCCAGCCCTTTCTAAACCCTAAACCCTAAACCCTAAACCCTAAACCCTAAACCCTAAACCCTAAACCCTAAACCCTAAACCCTAAACCCCAAAAGCAACCCTCAGCTCCCCAAAAGAGTTCGAAGTCCAAGCTTAGGCCTTGGGAGTTCAGGCTTGCGACTCTCGGGTGTAGGGTGATGAGTACTATAACAGTCCTGAAAGGGGACTATCATCATGGGGGGGGGGGGTTAGGGTTTAGGGTTTAGGGTTTAGGGTTTAGGGTTTAGGGTTTAGGGTTTAGGGGGGGTTTACGAAAATCCCTAGGACTGCTGGGATAAGGGGTAACATCCCAAGGTTCAGGGTCAAGGGAGCCCCACACCAACTCACGATTCAGAACCCCGCATTGATCTTGGACTCGAAGTGGGCAGTGGTCGTGGACAGCTGGTCCTGCGGCTTGGGTCTTGGGCCACTTCGGGTGTAGGGTGTAGTGCATCGGGTAGCTTCAGGGAATCGCAAGGTGGTGACCGTGAGTGGGCTACCTTGGGGACGAAATGAACCCTAAGATTGGGGTCATATACCTTATACCATTATAATTCCTATTGAGGTGTATGAACCATAAACCCTTTTAGGCTGCATTTCGTCCCCAAGGCAGTTGAGCTTTTGACCATTGCTGCCCGCTGCCCTTTTCAACGCACTGGCTCCAGCTGGCCTTGACGTGCGTCTCCTGACCTTCAGCTCAGCGCACATGGGGCTTTTTGGGGCCCTCATCCGACGGCGTATAAGGTGAAAAACAAAAACCTAGGATAAAACAAAGGCGCACTTTTGGTATGCTCTTTTGTTAAGACAAGGGGTGTATAAGGGAACCGGACCCGCAAGATCTGATGGAAAGCTGGGGACCCAACAAAACTTTTGGCAGGGGATGAGGACTGGGACTGCGCGTTCGAAAGCCTTCGTCTTGTTGGTTCGGGCTTAGGCTTAAAGGGCTTAGGGCCTGTTTTTTCTGCCTCCTGCCTCGCTGTCTGAAAGCCACGCCGCAGGGCAAATATCTGCATTTGGTACTTCTGAACAGGGCCTATTTAGGGCTGAGGGTGTGGGGTATGGAGACCCTCCCAAGCTCAACCCTGACCAAGAGCCAAGCGGGAGCACTCGGACAGTTGAGTGTCCAACTGCCTCACCAGGTGGACAGCCACGGAAGTCACCCGAACAATTCCCTGAATTCTCTTCTTGCTCCAGACCTGGCCCTACTAGAATCACTAGACCTTGCAGATGACAAATCTAGACTCCACCTTCTTGCATCTCAGTCATCTTGAGCCAAGTTCACTGTAGTTTAGGCCCTGCAATCACACTGAAAGCACAGTTTGCACCGCTCACAATCTCACTCTCCACAGCTCAACCCCCATGAATTGATGAATGGGGATGTTCCTCTTATACTAACAGTCCTTAATGGGGGGCTTACAATAGGGGGTACTATCATCCCTGTTAACGACTGTTAGTATCCCAACCTATGAAAACGAGGACACCGCAGCCGGTGGTCGCGGCCGTGCACACCCGAGACCCTAAACTCTGAAGCCCCAACCTCTCTAAACCAAAACCCAAAACCCAAAACCCAAAACCCAAAACCCAAAACCCTAAACCCTAAACCCTAAACCCTAAACCCTAAACCCTAACCCTAAACCCTCAACCCTCGACCCTCAACCCTAAAGCCTAGACCCCATGCGAACCCTACCCCTAATTTAAGTGCGGGCCTCAGCTGTGTCTCGATCTCGCGTAGCCGCTTCTGCAGCTTGTCGCGCTCATCACGGAGAGCTGCGCGCTGCCTCGGAGAGAGGTGGATTTCAGGTCTAGGGTTCAGAGTTTGGGGTTTAGGGTTCTGGGTCTAGGGCCCGCGAGGCAGACCAGCCACACTGCAGGGTTTCAGGGTTTCGGGTTTTGGGTTCATTGATAGGGTTTACAGGGCTACAGGGTTTATGGGGTTTGAAGGGTTTGGGTTTAATTTAGGGCTTCGGCTGTCGCACTCGCAAGCAGCAGGCGAGGATTCGGCACTCCAGAATATGCTGCTCACTACAGGAGAACTACACCCCGGGGAGAGGATTTCCCCGCAGCCACAGCTCGTTGAAAGTTTGCATGGTTTAGGGTTAGGGTTTACCCTAACCAATGGGGCGTTATTGACCCTCGTCCAAATCAAGTCCAATGGTCGTGCAGGGATTCTGGCGGAGTTTACGGCTTTAGAGAGCCACAACAACAGGATCTAGGTAGGCTTTGGAGCTTCGACTGCTGGGCTTGTGGGTGCTTTCAGGGTGCTCTAGTTCTAGGAGGTAGCTGCAGGAGCCCTGCATTTAAAGTGCGGCTACAACTTGTGCTTACCTTGGGGACTAAATGACGCCTAAAAGGGCTTATGGTTCATACACCTCAAAAGGAATTATTGTAGTCAGGGTATATGAACCCAGTTTTAGGGTTCATTTGGTCCCCAAGGTTTAGCCGCCTCGATCCTATGATCATCCCTTAGAAGCTCTCCCGTGGGCCCGGCTCTTCCAGCGACCTGCAAGCAGGCAGTGGCTGGGCTCACATTCGCCCTAAGCCCAGACCCTTAAGCCACGGCACAGCAAGGCTACTCAAGGGGTATAAGGAGGGACCCCTAGAAGGGACCGTGAATCTTATGCCCCTTGCTAAGCACCATATTGAACTGTACATAGTCCCTATATACTAAGGTCCCTTATTGGGGGGTGCTGTGTGGGCGTTTCATTTCGGGACAACATGGTGTGAGTGCTGAGATGTGTTGCAAATACCTGGCCAGGCCGCCCTGCCTAGGAGTACGACCTAAGCCCGCTTTAACCCTAAGCCCTAAACCTTAAACCCTAACCCTATCTGCCTGCATAATTGCTCTGCATGTGCGCGTGATCCTCTTGGAATCTAGGCCCCATACTCCCTCGCACTATGCAGCTTCTATACACGTCCATTGAAGCCTGGTAACCTGTTACAAACCCAATCAGTAACCTCAGAAGCCCTCCAAGTCGAAAACACTTTTCATCTCTAGATACCTTACAACCCCGAGACACTCTGCTAGAAACCCTACACCCCTGAAAACCACGCAACAAACTTGTTATCTAACTGCTACAACCCGAAGAAACCTGTAAACCTATAAACCCCTAGAAATCCTATGCACCCTACGTACCCAATAATAAACCGAAAGCGAGCCTTCGGAACCCTTGAAGCCTAAGCTCTAAAGCCTAAACCCTACACCCAAAACCATAAGCCTTAAGCCCTAAACCCAGAACCTCTAAACCCTAAGTCCTACCTCTCCGGTGCCAAACCCTAAATCCTAAACCCTAAGCACCCCAAAGCCCGAGGACCCGGCAGGGCCGTCAGTCCCAGAGTCGCCAGCTGCCGGTTCAAGTCTCCTGGTTCAGGGTTCAGGGTTTGAGGGTTTGAGGGTTTGAGGGTTTGAGGGTTGAGGGTTGAGGGTTGAGGTTTGGCGCTTTAGTTGGTTGAGGGTTTAGGGTAGTTTTAGGATTTATACGGCTTAAAGGGCCTATAGGGTTCGGGCTTAAAGAGCTCCAGGGCTTAGGGGGGTTGGGGTTCTGGGGCTGCGGGTTTGGGTTTCCTCATATAACGGGCTTCGAAGCCCGGCTTTCCAGGGTTTTCGGTGTGCTCTCGACTTCCTACAGGAGAGGCGCTCAAGAGGCCGCAAGCTGATAGGAACCTCACAGTGCATAGCAGGTAAATGGGCTTCCTATCTGAGGTTGCGTTGTGTGTATCTAGGCTCCCTTCTAGACTTCTTGAGTCTCTGTACGGGATACCCAGCACCCTAATCCCTAACCCCTAAACCCTAAACCCTATCCCAACCGGCGTCCTGCGAGGCGATCCAGGCTTGACCCCAAGCTCTCCTGCTCCTGGGCGCGTAGGGAATGGTTTAGGGTTTAGGGTTTAGGGTTTAGGGTTTAGGGTTTAGGGTTTAGGGTTTAGGGTTTAGGGTTTAGGCTTTAGGGTTTAGGGTTTAGGGCTGTCTTTGGAGTACCTGGGCCTCCATCTACCTACAGTCTAGTAGCAACTACCTTTCAATAGTAGGTACTGAAGGTAAAGAGCGTCCCAGGTATATGTAAATCTTTCATAATAACCCTAAACCCGAAACCCCAGACCCTAAACCCGGACCTTCCGCCTGTGGCTGTGGACCGAAAACATGGGGATCTGCCTTGTCATCCCAAAGAGTTTCATCGCTCGCGCTCGGACAGACCAAGCGCGGCACCGTCGAGTCTCAAATCTGCTCATGTCGGTCAGTAGGCCACGGGCAACAACTTAAAACCCTAAACCCGAAACACTAAACCCGAAACCCTAAACCCTAAGCCCTACCCGTCCCTACCCTGCCACCCTTGCGGCCGTAGATTCAGGGTTTAAGGCTTAGGGGCTAAGCAGCTGGCCCCTAAACCCTAAACCCTAAAACTAAACCCCCCTAAACCCCAAACCCTAAACAAGCCAAGAGAACCTTCCAGTCGAAAGACCCTTCGACACCAAAACCCACATCCCCAAACAAACCCAATAAGCCCGCAAACCCCATAACCCCAGGGTTCAGCCCTAAAACCTGACCCCTAAACCCTAGACCCTAGGGTTATAAGGTTTTCCGGCCTTTTTGGCTTGTTTAGGGTTTGGGGTCTAGGGTTAGACCATTAAACCCCCTTCTCACCCGAGAAAACCCGGCCACCCCGACGACATCTTGGTGCTGCTGGGGCCCGGGACGACGGTGAGAGCTTGCGCACCCGCTGTGAGGGAGTTCACCGCCTTCGGGTTGGTGAGCAAGGCTTCGGCAAGGGCTAGGGTTTCGAGGGCTTATGGGGTGTGGGGTTCATGGGCAATAGGGTTACAGGGTTAGGAAGTGACTGTATAGTGCTCTTTTTTTGGCGGGAGGGGGGGGATGTGACATGGGGTTGAGGGGGTGATACTTTGTTTTCGACAGTTGCGTTTATTTCAGTGACCGACTCCAGACCATCAGAGGGTGTTTGGGACAGCTGCACGGGGCTTCTGCTTGCTGAGTTGATATCAGAGCCCTACTACAGAACAATTCAGACCGGGCAAACCCCTAAATCCTCAAACCCTCAACCCTCAACCCTAAACCCTAAGGGGGGTCGGGCTTGTGTCCGGTAGCTAGCGCTGAGCCGTTTCACGTGGGCGGCTCTCTGAAATATCAGACCTTTGTTGGCTACCTTCTTGATCTGAGGGTTTGCGTTTGATCATGGAACCTATCATGTGGCTAGAGGGTTTTTTATATGGTGAGCTCTCTAAATTAGGGTCCTTTTTTGGGTACCCCAAATAGTAACATAAGGATTATACTAATAATCCTTACAACAGTAACCCTAAAAGGGACCATGATTTACAGAAGTGCCCACATGCCATTTACATGTTAAAGCAAAATTGACAAACCCTAAACCCTAAACCCTAAACCCTAGACCCTAAACCCAAGATTCGTGTGAGGAACAGGGCCAGGGTGCAGCAACTGTGCCTGCCTCCGCAGCATCGAGCACCAGCCGGTCCATCTTTGGCACCTGCCGTTTAGGGTGTAGGGTTTAGGGCTTAGGGCTTAGGGTTTAGGCCTTAAGGGGTTTACCTTAAGAACCCCAAACCTGCAAAAAAGCAGGTTGCCTAAGAATTCTCTAGTACTACATCTACAAAGAAGTAGGTTTGGGGTTCTTAAGGTAGGGCTTCAACAACTTCTGAGATCTTCAGAATATCATGATGATGACACTTACATGCAGCTTGTCAAAGCTCACTTCAGCTCTTCTGTTCCACCCGGGTTTAGGGTTTAGGGTGTAGGGTTTAGGTTTAGGGCTTAGGGTTTAGGGTATAGGGCGAAGCCCTATAAGCCCTAAGTGGGGCAAGCTTTTGGCTGGATCGCGCGCCCGCGCAGCGTTGAGCTCGGCGACGGACCGCAACCGCGCACATGCCATACCTAAGTAGGGACGAGTTTACTACTCTTGGTAGCCAGGGTTTAGGGTTTGGGGTTTGAGGTTGAGGGTTCTACTCTGATAGTGCTATTTCCCAAAATAGGGGTACAGCTCTTATACCCCAAATAGAATAGAATCCCCTTAACGGGACCCCCCAAAAAGGTACCCCAATTTTCGGAAACCCCCATATTTCCGAAATTAGGGACACCTTCTTGGGGTGTTTTTGAAAAGAAGCCTGCTATTTGGGGGTCTATTTTAAGGGCCCCTCATTTTCGTAAACCCCGATAAGAGGTGAGCCGTAAAATTGAAATCCCTCGGTGGCCCACTGCAAACATCCGCCGTTCCCAGCATCCAAGGCCAAGGCGAAGGAAACCCTAAACCCTCAACCCTGTAACCCTAAACCCTACACCCTACACCCTACACCCTAAACACTAAACCCTAAACCTTAAACCCTAAACCCTAAACCTAAACCCTAACCCTAAACCCTAAACCCTAACCCTAAACCCTAAACCCTAATCAAAGCTCTGAGTCCTAAACCCCAGCCCCTAACCCCTACACCCTAAACCCCAGGCGAGTGCCCAATGCGGTTGAGCACTCAGGCATGGGCAGAGCAGCTCCACCTGGAAGGCGGCGTCAAAGCGAACCCCACTTCCCAACGACGGTTTTAGGGTTTAGGGTCTTGGGGTTTATGGTTTAGGGTTTTAGGGTTTAAGGTTTAAGGTTTAGGGTTTAGGGTTTTAGGGTTTGGGGTTTTAGGGTTTAGGATTTAGGGCTTAGAGTTTAGGGTTTGGGGCTTAGGGACCTCGAATTAGTTATGGGCTTTGGACAACCCCCACTTTTGGATGCATGGGGTGAGGGCGGAAAGCCCCGAAACCAAGCAGTTGGGACCCAAGCTGCTCCTCGGTGGTTCCAGAAAACTCATGGGTTTAGGGTTTAGGGTTTAGGGTTTAGGGTTTAGGGTTTAGGGTTTAGGGTTTAGGGTTTAGGAGGTCGACTCTCAGGGTTCAGGGTTTCTTAGGGGTTTAGGGTTACAACCTCAAAGTCATGACTTCCTGGCCGCCTCACCATAAGTAGCGCCAGCGCGTGGGTGCAGGATGCAAGCTTCAACCCTTCTCTACTGCCCTCTGTACATCTCTCTCCCTATAAGCCAAAAACCCCAACCCCAGTGTCCCGCAGTTTAGGGTTTAGGGTTTTAGGGTTTTAGGGTTTTAGGGTTTAGGGTTTAGGGTTTAGGGTTTAGGGTTTAGGGTTTAGGGGTTTAGGGTTACTTTCATCCGTCTGGCCAGTCAGGTTTTTAGGATCGCTCTGCAAGTTCACACCCTGAAGCCCCTTGGAACCTCCTCCTGCCAAACACAAACCCTACAACCCTAACTGAGAACTACCCCGAAATGCCGAACCTTTTTGTTGCATCTGCACCTCCTTTGCTGACCCCAAAACCCAACTTAACCTCTGGCCTAAACCCCAGGAACCCCGCAAAAGCCCCCTGGGCCCCATTTTCTGCAAGAGCTTAGGGATTTTTGGGGTTGAACTTTAGGGCTCAAATCCCTAAACCCTAAACCCTAAACCCTAAACCCTAAAACCCTAAACCCTAAACCCTAAACCCTAAACCCTAAACCCTAAAACCCTAAACCCTAAACCCTAAACCCTAAACCCTAAACCCTAAACCCTAAACCCTAAACCCTAAACCGACGGGGGGCCTGCGCCTCTACATCTCGGGCGTAGGTCGCCCTGGGCCGGCTTCTGAGGCTTCCGAGCGCTCATGAGGGCGGGGGGGCTCAAAGGGGGGAAACTCTGAAAGGGGGGGAAACTCTGAAAAAGGGGGCGGGGGGGGGGGGGGGGGGGAGGGGGGAACAGAGGTTGCAGAATGCTCGTTTTGCTTTGTCTTCTCCAGGGTATAGGTTTTGGTTTGCTCCATGGTTTAGGATGTGTTTGCTCCGGGGTATTTTCGGGTTTAGGGTTTCGTGTCGTTTGGCCAAAGCTGCCGATATCTAGACCCAGATGGCAAGAGACGCTGGGATCTCGGCCATCGCCCATACCGCTCGCGTGCCAAGGCGGCTCGTATTCCCTGCCTCAGGCAGCGAGAGGGCTTAGGGTTTAGGGGTTTAGGGGTTTAGGGGTTTATGGGTTTAGGGGTTTAGGGGTTTAGGGGTTTAGGGGCATTCGAGCGGTATAAAGGCAAGACTGACTGTTTTAGAAGTCGTGCGTAGCTTCGGGGCTGTAGGAATCAGACAGGGTACATGGTCCAACAGTAGTTCTGTAGTCGTTAAGGGTATATGACGGTTCACCAGTTCACCTAACCTTTAACCCCAATTTTAGGGTATGCTGTCTCCAAAGAACGTTAAAGGTTTGATGTTTTGGGTGGTCCACATCGGCCTGCCTCAAATATGTGGAGAGGTGATGGACGAGCAGCTTCTTTCTTGTCGGAACGAATCGACGAGATCTGCCCCCCAAACACGTGGAAGTAGACTCTCTTGGCTGCCCAAACCCATTCTGGTTGCAGATGCACAGGGGGTAACTATGGGTAACTTGTACGGCAAAACTCTAGTTTCGGCCGGGCTTGGTCTAGCAGGCGTGACTTCTACAGCAAGTCTGTAGGCATCCGAAAGCAACCGCGCATCCTTAAGAAATTGATGTCGCCTCCCCGCTGGTTCCGAGGTGAAAGCCTCCGACCCTAAACCTTAAGCAAACATTTTTCTGAGCACGTGCGGCAGATGAGTCATCAATCCGGCTGCAAACGATACAGCTGAGGAAGGACCCAATGCTGCGAACGTCTGGCAATTTTTTGTGGGTTCATTGAGGCTTCATCCAAACACTAGGACACCATCACGTCGCGGCCTAGGGTTTAGGGTTACGGTTTAGGGCTGAGGGCTTTGGGTTTAGGTCTTAGGGTTTAGGGTTTAGTGTTTAGGCACGGGCCTGCAGCCTACGCTACGAGGATGTCGGTCCATGAAGCGCTAAAGTCATCAGCGATGTGCCACAGCTTGATGCCGGTACAACCGTCGCCAAGCATAGGCAACCTTGGTCACACTGCATTTTGTAGTCTGCTGACTTTTGGTCTACTATACTATACTAGTTCATGGTTGGGATAATTTCCATATTAACAAAATAAGAATGCTATTCCTTATAGGGTTTAAGTACCCAACTATGACAAAGTATAGTATTGGCTGTTTGTGGCCTCCTGAGATCGTCGAGCTGGATGAAGCCTCACTCCTTCATTCCCGACTTAGCCAACAGAGTTAGCCTTGCCTAGGCTTGAGTGGAGATTTGGGGGGGGGGGGGGGGGGCAGAGAACGCTGGCTTTTGAGTTTTGTGTTGGTTTTGTCTTGTGGGTTCGTGGCGGCGGCTTGACTGAAGCCTCAATTCCTGGAGCCCCACCGGGCTGCAAATTCAACACCTGGGGGGGGGAGGGCTGCTTCAGGGCTTAGGGGTTGAGGGTTAGGGTTTCTAAGGGTTCAATAGGAGCCAAACAGAATAGTCAAGAGGCGCATCAGAGAAGGGCACGCGGCAACCAGCACCTGCCGCGCAGGTCATAAGCGCTGCGCTTCCTCTTGAGGGCCTGAAACAATGATGTGTTCGTCGAAAACCCATGCAAATCGCCTCTGTAAGCTAAACCCTTTTTGCAACACTTGGAGGTTCATGGGTACTTATAGAAGTAGGGTGAGAAGTAGGGTAACTATGGTTATATAGCCCAACCATAAAACCCTAAACCCTCCCTTTACCTCCAAGCAGGCTCGTTGAGCTAGACCTTAAGCGCAGAATCAAGCCCGCGCTTCCGGCTTGCATGCGTGAGAGCTTGTGGAGCTGTCCGTCCCATTTGGGTTTAGGTTTAGGGTTTAGGGTTTAGGGTTTAGGGTTTAGGGTTTAGGGTTTAGGGTTTAGGGTTTTTTTTGCCACCCGCTTAGCTGACCTCTCGGACACTCTGCAGGGAACTGGCGGTTGAAGTATGGGGTTCTACTTGGAGCTGCCGTTTGGGTTGAGCCTTCATCCAAGAGCCAACCAAAGGTTACATGCCCAAAAGCCCAACTTACAACCACCAGGGAAAGTGCACTCAACCCAGTCGCAACTCATCAAGCTTCGCAAACTGTAAAGCGTTTCGGCAGCCTCTCAGGGATCCCAGTCCACGTCACCAACAAAGGAAACAAACACCGTCTACGTTTCGCGGAGGCAACTCCATGTAGAGAGAGAGGGCCCGTTCTAACATCTCGCCCTGGCTCACGTGATGATAGCCAGGTAAACGGGAGCCTGAGATTCCTAGGGTTGAGTTCTCAGCGGTGTGGATCCATGTGGTCTGGTTTGATGGGGTCGAGTGGTGTTTCATCTGTTGGATCGATGTGGTGGTGGTGCAGTGTCAACTGGGAATCTCGCACGATGAACTGACCTGGCTTGGCTGGGAGCTGAGGATGAATCTTGAGGACTCGTCCTAATCTGTCACATGGTAGGATCTTTGAAGACCCTATGGAGTGGACATGCGCTAATGTGTTACCTTTGATGTTGTGTTGTACTTGTTTGTGCTGTCATGTCCACTCTGCTGAACCTGCACGTAAAATTTGCCTGGATGACTGGGGAACAACCGCTGTACATGAGCTCGATGCAGGTGGTGAACCTATCACCTGCTGGAGCCTGGATGCCCCCATATATATCCTGGGGCCCTCGGGGCTATTGCTCAGTCCTGGTGCTCCTTCGCATCAGATTCACCACCAAAACAAACACCATAGGATACTGCATTTGCATCTACACATCGCAGCGCTTCACACTCTCCAAGCACATGGGTCAGTCGTGGGCTGTAAGTATGCTGGTGGAGAGTCCAGATTTACCTAACAACCCAACAACCACATGGATCCAAACGATCAGACAGAGCTCAGGGAGGCAGCATTTCACTTTGCAAACATCCACTGAAATCCAGCCGCTGTCTGCTCCATGCCCAAGTAGCATCACAGCACATGCATCCAGCCACAATATTCCAGCCTCTGTTTGCTCCCCACTCACCCCCTGGGTCGATCCATAGATGGTCATGTTGAGTGGCAGAGAAGGGGGTGGCTGCAGCAGAGTTCACAGTACCCAGCACACATGCAGCCTAGGCATCCCCCATAGCAGATCGCTTCCATCGGTTTGCTTCTGCTCAGTTCCTGGCTCCACACAACACCATCACTTCAGAAAGTGCCAACCCTCTGAGCTGACCTCTGAGGGACTTTGCATGGAACTGGCGGTTTGGAGCATCGACTGCTGGAGGTACCAGCTAGGTTGGGCCACTGTCTCAAGCGCACGTGGTCTGTCCCGTGTCAGTTTCCAGAAAGGCGTGTAACTCACACCGGCCATCTGAGTAGCAGGTGCCATACAAACCAGTCTGTCTCCCAACTTGCAGAACCACTGCTCACCAGCCAATGAGTTTTGCCAGCAGTGAGTGTCAGCAACACCCAGGAGTACGAGCAGGCCAGTTCGAAAATCGCTACGGAGCTGTGTCCATGGCTTGGCAGCAGCTAAAAGCTAATTGGTTTGTAGAACTTAATGGACATGTTGTGAGACCGCTGACAATGGCATTGTAGCAATTTGCTGCTACTTTGACAAGCCGGCCAACATCGTCACTGAACTTGCCCGTCTTTCGCCCTGAAAGTTTTCCTTCTTTCACACTCTTTGAGCCGAACAAGCAGACAGCCAAGCAATAGGTTGCCCACTCTGCGTGGAGTTCAGGCTTGGCTATCAAAGCACGCCTCACGTCTAGAGGGTTTGTGCCCTTGTAGCGCCACGTAGCATCCAACTTTCCTCCTTCTCCGAGCTTTTTACTTGCTTGCTCAACCGCCTCGTAGAACTGGCGAAGAGCAGACATGTCTGCTGCGTTTGAGATGAAGGATTGAGTCAAAGTTGGTCCTTCAGAAATTGAGTGGGCCAGGAATGCTGAGAATTGAAGCCTGTCCCAGATCCAAAGTTTCCGCAGGCGACCTGCCCCGCGATAGTCTGTCACGAAGTCAATCACCTTCTCCCAAGGTGTCCTTCCCCAACAGTCTCTCAAACTGCCTACTCAGGACCCTGTACTTCTCAGAAGACCTTGGATGGATTGCCACTGACCGTTGGTCCTTGGCAATCACAACAGCAACTCTCGGGTCAACCAAGTGAGGACCACCCAGGAACCAGAGGGCCGCCCCAGGGGCAATTAGGAGCGTTTCCCTCCAGGAGGAGAAATAGGTTCTGCTCTCTAGGGTTGGAGCCGACCAACGCTGAGCCGCGTACGAGAACTGCAAAAGTCCTCGATCAAAGCAACTCTGCATCAGAAATTTGCGAGAACCCCAGATGCCTTGAGCCAAAATGGCTACGGGGTTTAGGGTTTAGGGTTTAGGGTTTCAACATCAGTCGATTCGTTGCAAGATTGCCGCCGCCTGATTTCTTCGCACCAAGCTGGCCATCTGGAGCATGTCGGACAAACACCTCGCCAGCAAGCTTCTGAAAGATCTCTATGCTACTTTAGCCGCCGACCCTCCAGCAACAGCTGACGAACCCGCGATGAATCCGGCACAATGTCTAAGTGGCCCTAGCGCACATCCTCGGAATCCAATGCCGCCTGGCGTGACGATACTTAGAAATCAGCCAATGATGAATATATAAATATAAATACAAATAAATACAAATACAAATCTATAATAAATAAATAAATATAAATAAATAAATATATATAAATATATATATATATATATATATATACATATTATATAAACATGCACACGCTCACCAATAACAGGCATTATGAACCCTACGCTGTGTGTTCTCACCAACACACCAAAACACGGCATGTTCCCAACCCCCAAGCGAAACCGAAACAGGGACCCGCCGTTCTGAAAAGTGAAACATCGTCGGCCTTGAGTCGGAATATAGGTATTTCGTGTAGCGATTCGTCATTTCTATACTGGGAATATGAGGAGATCATGTTGGCAAAATTCTCGGATTCCGTGCTACTCCTTGCTCAAAGATTTCACGCAAGAAGCCCGAAGACCCTAAACCCTAAACCCTAAACCCCAAAACCGGGAAGACCTCAGAGAGATGGGACTGCCTCCTGCCCGCTCCAATCAAGCTCCAGAAC